TCCTTTAAAAAAAAAAAAAAAAGAAGATATAGATTATTTATTTTTCTCCATCCTTGTGCTGTAGCAACACCCCGGGTGTCATCATTTGCATGGATTTGACACCCCGATGTCTGGCTTCTTTGTCCTCTCTCCAACTTGTTTTCCCCTTTCCCTCCCTCTCTGTTGATTCCAGTCAACCCCGTTCTCTGTGTGTGCCGCTCCTCTTTCTGCTGATGGTGGCGGTGCCATCCATGCCAATTATGGCAGTCGGGCAGGTGGCTCTTTGCAGGTGGTGGAGGATTAATCCCTGTAAAGACCTCACTTCATTAGGAAATCCGTTTAATGTGGCCAGTTGATTGATAAATCTCCCAGACCTCTCAGAGTCCACAGATTACTGCCAAGTTTGTCTATTATATGCTAGATTGACCTCCATGTCGGACACAGAGAGAGGGAGCAAGAGGGAAGGAGGTATTTTTTTTTCTCCCCGTTCAGTCATTCATGCCGAAGTTAGTTTCTTGGGCTCTTATGGCTTTAACTGAGTTGGAGTTGCTTTTATTATGATAAACACCAGCAGTGTTACTGCTCCCACTTTTAAATATAAACTGACTTTGGATGCTTGTTCATCAAATAGTGTAAAATATATATTAGCAGTGTCTGGGGAAATCCTTGCACCTCCAAAATTGTCTCTTTTGTGGAGACCCTGAAGGCGCATTAAAATTGCATCATCAAAAAGAGCAAGCAATTATCAACCCTTTAGTTTGGTCACTAATTTATGACATCCACATGTATGGATTGATCAATAGAATAGAGTTGGCAAAAACATTTGAATTTTACCAAATTGTGACACAGAAAGCCCGATCCCAGTATATATAAATATGCATTATCTGCGTGTTGTCCTACTTTTGAAACATCGCAGTAAATCTGACAATGATCACAGTGATGAGATTGTCTAAAGACTCAGACCACTCACACTCTACAGACTGTGTTATGCCCATGCATTTAAGATGAACTATTTATTTAAGTCATCACTCTATAATTTTCCATCCCAGTATTATCACAATTACCCTGTGAACTAGGACAGGAGGGAACTACCCCCACCACTTGTGAGTCCTTCCCTGACACCCGTGGGCCCGTCATCTGCTCGGATTTGTCAATCTCTAACACACGACCCCTTAATCAAGCCTGTCAAACACGGATGACAAATGCGTCTCCACATCTCCAAGATACCTACAATATTTAAAGCCCTGGGCGAATGACGAACCAGACAGAATACCCCCACGCTTCAACCCCAACGGCAGACTTAAAGTTCAAACCACATCAGGCCGTATCATTCTCAAATTTTGAAGCAGAATCTGAATTGGACCTGATGGCACTTTGACTTAATGATTGTGACAGAGAATACCCAGTGTCTTTCTCAGGCTTCTACAAGGCAGCGAAGAGAAGTCAAACTACATTTAAGGACATGTTCATCAACTCGTGTTGAAATTCAGACATCAGCATTACCCATGTAACCCACTACGGAGTATGTACACATCACTACTAGGTTTGTAAGGAGCTGAGAGTTGAAGCAATAACACAATGACACAGGTTTAAACGTCCAAAATTGTGAAGTTTTTATGTTAACAAAATACACAAACAATTTACAGCCTGGGTGCAATCCCGTGGGCCAAATAACCACTTACACGATCACAGAGAACTTTCTAGAACTAGCATACCAAGGAAGGAGATTTTCCCCCCTGAAACGTTGAGGTGATAGATGCTTTTTCGATGGCTCTGGGACTTCGAACATGATATTTACATGGGTTAACTTGAATGGATAATTAAATGTTAAGTGGTGTAGGAACCATGTGTGTGTATCTTTTTTCCTTTGTTTTACATTCATACGGGATAAATAAGAGGCCAGTGCACGATCATATTAGCGATGTTAAGCTCTACTGAGATGCCACGGTATCGACTGGTTAGCACGTCCGCCTCACAGTGCAGCGGTGCAGGGTTCGATTCTGGCTCCGGCTTTGCTGTGTGGAGTTTGCATGTTCTCCCCGTGCCTGCGTGGGTTTTCTCCGGATACTCCAGTTTCCTCCCACATTCCAAAAACATGCACCATAGGTTGATTGATCACGCTAAATTGTTCGAAGGTGTGATTGTGAGTGTGAATGGTTGTTCGTCTATGTGTGCCCTGCGATTGGCTGGCAACCAATTCACGGTAGACACTGCCTACTGTCCAAAGACAGTTCTAGCACTCCCGCAACCCTTGTCAGGATAAACGGATTAGAAAATGGATGGAAGGATGAAGCTCGACTGTGTATGGCAGAGCACTACTTCTGGTTTCTTTATAAAATGAACTTCCGGTTATTAAAAGAAAACTTTATTGCCTATTTTCATGGAATTAAATGCAGGGGTGGAGCATGACCGTATTATTTGTATTTACATTAAAACACAAAAACAACTCGGCTATTGACTAGAACCCCTCAGTGTCAATCATGTTAATATATTGCCACCCAACATACATTTTACAACTCGACCATTACACTGACATACTTCCATATATCATAGGTGCTCACACACAAATTTGATCACTCTCATCGAAAAAAAAAAAGAGTAGCTTCAAGATACAATCTGGCTATCAGGCGATCAAATACGCAGTCATTCTTCTTCCTGCTGCCACCAAGCATGTAACTATATTGCTTTGCCTGATGCCTGGAGCCTTGTCAAAATATGACAGAAGATCGCACCTTTTTTTTTCCTAGGGTGAGTGCTTTAATTACAGTTTGGCTTCTGGCCTTACCACATCTGTACAAGTGTCAACCCAAAGTTCATCTGTTCATCATCTTGTGTGTGTGTGTGTGTGTGTGTGTGTGTGTGTGTGTGTGTGTGTGTGTGTGTGTGTGTGTGTGTGTGAGACCATGTTACTGGATGTGTGGATATGTTTTTGTGTATGTGGCTTTAGTGATTCTTCTTCAGACAGACCGGCTGTTGAGGTCACCCCCACCCTTTGTTTTTTTCCCCCCCTCTCTAGATACATCAAGACATGTACTGTCATTACTCATGCTCACGATCACATTTCTTTCACAAAACCTTGCCATCATTCCTTTGATATTTAATATTTTAATTGCTGTTTGGGTCATATATCTTTATGTCCTATACAACAAGAAATGGGTCAGGGAACAAAGAGCAGAGGTTTGCGATAGACTAACTCTCGAAATTAACCATTTATTTCTGTTGCTTTCTTGAACATTCATGTACAGACAGAATTGTTCAATAATACAATTCAGAAGAGGACAATGTAAATAAGTTAGTTTTCTACAATACATCATGTATTACATGATGGTGCAATAATTTTGCCTCAGATTCACTGAATGCTAACATCAGTTTTCTCTTTCAGCTCTTCTCTTGAAATTTTCATTTCCCTTCAACAACCATTGTTTCTTTGTTCATACCCAGAGCTGCAGGTGGCAGCATAGACTCAGAGGACATGAAAGGCCATACTCCATCAAAGACGCTCACACTCTGCTTTGGTGAGCTTTTCAGCAGCCCCTGAAGTACATACTTTTGACCTTTGGATATTTGTTCGCCAGATAAAGTGATACAGTGTGAAGGTCAGTGGCTCGCACTTAGTTTGTCTGTCTCTCTTTGCAAGAGGGTGTCATAATTAGCAAGTGCACAGCCTGTGATTTTTTTTAATGTCCCTAAATGGCCTCGGACAGACTCTATGTTTGTGCTTTGTCACGCGCCACATTTCCGAGGTATGTTTGATGAAGAACCATGAAGAAGCGGCAGGTTTTGATAGTATCGTACAATGTTTTTTTTTTGTTTTTTTTTTTGGTGAGCGACAGTCAGCTGTTTATGGTGTCAAAACAGGGATGAAGGGTGAAGGTATTTTGGCCGCAGGGACATTTGTTTTTACACTGATTTACCAGCCGTAGAGCTTTGCATCTTATTATTTTAACTATTGTTTAACCAATCCTGGGAGACTTAGGTTGTGTCTGACTTATCTTTTCAAGGTTTCCCAAGGATTTGTAATGTTATCAGTATGTGAAGACGTGAATCTAAATCAAAGAAACTTCATATCTCTTTGAGTATATATTCTTCTGCACTGTTAGACCAAATATACTTTCAGCGGCTCGGTAACATATCCATATCCGGTATCTGCATTGTCATACACATTGAATATTACTGTGATTCTCTACACCGATCACTGTTTGGTTATTAGTCTTTTGGTTAGATTGCTACGAGGCTATTATATACAGTAGTATAACCTCTCATTCAGCTCTCTGGAGCAGGAGCTGGGACACAGTGGCTGCTGAGTGAGAGCCATCATCCTGCTGAAAAGGCATGTTCAAAGATTCCCCTCCACTTTGTAAGAACAGGAGAACAGACCTTGCGTGTTAAGCACGAAGGTGGCTTGGGAAATTGAAATGGACACATTAGTATGAAATTAGAATTACATTTAGAACAAATTTAGATGATAACATATAATATTAAAAATTAGTGTGCATGTTACATGGGCTAATGGTAAATGGAGTTTACTAATATAGCACTTTTATCTACGCCATCATGGTGCCCAAAGCACTTCACAGCTGCTGCCATGCAGGGAACCACCAGGGCGACTGGGAGCACATTAGGCTTCAGTGTTTTGCCCAAGGACACTTCAATAGCAGAAAGTTGTAGCGGGGATTTGAACTGGTCAACGTTTGGTCCCTGGAGGAACAATTCTGCCATCTGAGTCACAGCCACCTTTTGTATTTAATTATGACTGTGAATATAATTTGTTTTTTCTTAGAAACGATTGTTACCATTATAAACTCGTAAATTCAGTTAAAAAATGCAGGAAATGCAGTGTGGTATGTCTTTGCCATTCTTACACACACACACACACACACACACACACACACACGTATAGAAATGATCACATTATGAAATGCTCAGATGCTTGCTGTATTTGTTCAAAAGTGATTAATGATACAGATAAATAGGAAATGTGTCTGAAAACTATTTCCCCCCAACTTTATGGGCAATAGTGGAAATAAAATCTGTTAATGTGGGACAAGGTCAAAAATCCCTTTCTCTCTGTGTAAAACAGTTTGTTCCACTCCAATACAACCAAAAGACACTCATTAACTTCTTTTAACTCTTCTAAATTTGCATTGTATGAACTAGTCAATCAGTATAACACATAAAACGTAAGAATGTAAGATTGCCAAATTTCAACAGTGAACGTGTATCTGTGCTGGAGGCAGAAAGAAATGAGTGTGGTCAAACAAAACCACCCAACTCCATTGTGTTTTTACATCTCATACAGACGCATGCACTCACACACACTTCCTCGAGATAAGCACAAGTTGACTAGTGAGCTTGAGATGGCTTCATCAATTACTTTTATGTCCTGCTTTTCACCTTAATGGCCTCTGCATATTCACCATGGGACCGAGAGTGCTTTCTCGGGGAGAGGACACACACGCACACATGCACACAAACACATGCACTGTCAAAGGTGACTGAGTTAGATTTATGGCCTGGGACCATCACCTGTGACTTAGCGTCTGTGAAATTAGTCACAAATAGCATATTAGGGCAGCTAATCAGGCACGTCTTGGCACTTGGCTTTCTTTATGTCCTCATAAACGAGAGAGCCTATGGGTGCCCTCAGGCCTTGGCGTGAATGATCATCTTGACCTCCAATGAACCAGACACCACACAGAGAAAAGCAGGGGCTGAATGGAAGCAATGTGTATGTGCACAGAATTGGGCTTCGATACACTGAGGCAGATGACAATGTTCGATCAAGAAGCCATGACCTTATGTTTTATCGCAATCCATGATAATGCCAATAAACGTTCATAAAGAGGATGGTGATGTTAGGAACTGTCACAAATTAAGATGAAAAACTAAGTCTTCAGGCTACATTTTTGTCCCTAGGGTAAGTCTTGCAGGAAGCACGGTCTAAATCCACGCAGAGGCAGGCTTAACCCAGATTTGGTATTTTTGCAGACCAATGTAAGGTGCCTCAGCATGGCACAATCAAAAAAGGAAGTTTTGCATCGTTGTGCTGTTACAGTTAGCCGACTTAATTCACCACCAGTTCGAAGCGTCACCCCTCATTCTCTTTAAATGCCTGGTGTGAGTGGCAAAGAATGCCGTAATTTTCGGATAGAATGCACCTGATTATAAGCCGCAACCACTACATTTTTAAAGGAAAAACCATTTTGTAAACACACAAGCCGCACCTGTCTATAAGCCGCAGGTGCCCATATTGTAACATGAGATATTTGCAAAGAAAGATGGCCCACAGAAAGAAGTTTCAACGTTTAATATCGTACCTTAACTGTTCTTTCCACGTAATGCCTGAATGCTGCACTCACACGGCTGGTTAAAAAAGAAAAAAAAAAAGGCACCGTTCCCTGTCGAGTGATGCTGTGTTTTAAAATGAAAATAATCCTCGCTTGCCGCGACACTAGGTCAACAATTACTTCATTAGGCTTTCTACCATCCATGCTTTCGTGCCAACTTTCACGACAATGTCTTTAGGGAGGTTTTCTTTTGGCATATATAACCAGATGAACAATACTATGACTGTGGTAGTGAATACTGCCTCGTTTAATAAATGGAGCACTGTCACTTTTAAAGGAGCGTTGGATAATCTCGTGAGACTTGGACCCCGAAGTCGCGAGACGAACGCTGAGCTGTGCTTAATCAGACCTGATGTATCTGCAATCGGCATTGTAACCATGTAATATATCATAAATATCAAAAATAAATATAAAATATCAAATATCATAACCCTGATGACTAAAATGTCGTCTATTTGTTAGTCCCATTTGACATATCTCAGTCTTTTATTTTATTAATGCTGTACATTTTCTATGTTCAGTCGAAGATAAAGCCTTCATAAAAATATTTTTGTGTTCGGTCCAGTCTGTCATAGACCCAGGCACACAGCTTTCGGATTGCAGTCCAGCTCAAAACACAGGTGAAGTGCGCCGTCTCATGGCCGGTTGTTTTCACTGTGACACATGATAGCGTCTCATTGTTACCTTTTCTGCTCGAGCGCTGGAAATATCTTTAAACAGGCCGCATCATTAAATAAGCCGCAGGGTTGAAAGCGTGTGACAAAAGTAGCGGCTTATAGTCCGGAAATTACGGTAAAATGATTTGCGGCAAGTTGAGGCATGTAAGGTACATTCATAAAGAACGGCAAGCAGAACCTCCAAGTGATAGCTGTGCTGTGGCCAGTAGGATTACTTTATAAACATCCATCCATCCATTATCTGAGCTGTTTATCCTCGTGACGGTCACGGGCATGCTGCAGCCTATCCCAGCTGTCTCCGGACAATAGGCGGTATACACAGTCAATTGGTCGCCAGCCAATCGCAGGCTTTAAAAATATATCATGATGATAATGGTAATAATGCATTCAATGGACTGATTTCTGCAATGATTCACAGAGTTTGATGCTTTCTGTTGTCATATTTACTCGCTTGGAATCTGTCTGCTTTGTTCAAATTCACCAAAATCACTGCACAAACCCTCCTTGCACAAATACTTTGACATGGTTCCAGCAGGCGTAAAGTTTAGTCTACTTTCAGCCACCAAATTGTCAAGAGCGCGAGTCATATGTCCTTGGTGCGCAAGAACGGCATTGAGGCAAAAATCCAGATATGACAGTTTTTATGTTCAACCAGCGGCTGGGCTGCATACTAATATACTGTCAACTGTACTATACATAAATGACAAATTGTTATTTAAAGCTATAAACTGAATTTAGTTTGTTTCAAATGTGCATTTTTTTTTCTCCATTTTTTTTTCGCTTTTTTTTTTTTCTTTTTTTCATCCAAGTGGCACGAGTCCCATGGTATCTCCTGACGAGCAGGTGAACTGTTGGACACTGAAATCTCTGGCACCAGCAAGAAACCTCTCATAACCTCATGAAATAGTAAAGCAAGCTCTTGTTCCCAGTCGCAAGTCTGTCAAATGAACAGGAGAGGTCACAAGGGTTGATAAATGCATTAAAGGATAGAATGGTGGGAGGAAGGAGAGGAAATGTTGAGGGACTAGAGGAGGAACTCACACATCTCTCATATGCTGTGTGCCCTACTGAAGCAATAGCATGTTTTCATATCAGCAATCTGGTGTGATGATTTAGTCACTGCCTGAGGAGAGCTCAGCTATTTTGCCCTTCATTGACTTAGTACGGCCTCACTTAAATTAGTCTTTATTTAAAGTAGCTCTCTCAATCGCCTCCCAGCGCTGTCTCCTCCCCTCAATCTCTCGCTTTTGTGATTTTTCCATTGAGGATATGAATTTGAAATTTCAATCAGAGAGTTATTAAATATTGATGGGTCTTCGAAGTCGTTAACGAGGTCTTGGCAAGGACAGGGGAATGGTCCCTTCTGTTCGTTGGTCGCCACTTTGCTGCAGCTTAGCCACCTTGAGGGATCCAGCCAGGTCAGAGGTCACTGTACCCAACCGTAATCTCCTGACTTCTATGAAATCCTTTAATGTCACACCAATGCTATTCTCTTTGACATCAGCTTTTAACTGGCTCTCATCACACATACTATATGCAAAAAAAAAAAAATTCACAAAACTTTCAAATTATACATTATGTAGAGCAGCCTTTATCCTCCGTTTGAGTTGTGTCAGTTATAATGAGAGTACTTGTGTGTGATTTGATATGATAATAGACATCTTTAACTGGGTCTCCGTGGACCTCCTGTGTGTCACGACTGATCACTTCTAAAGGAATAAGTGCCTCCGGGCCACCATGGAGCACAGCAGTGCTCAGATGGTTCAATACACTTTACTATAAAACCAAGATGAGACACCTTTTTTCTATTACTGCTGCTGCTGCTGGAAAGAAACTACTGCCATCTAGTCAAATGTTATGTGCTCGAGATGTGATCATACATACTATTCAAGTTTTAATTTGGTGAGAGGCACAGTCTCTGTTTTGCAGGTGAGACATATTACAACTGACTGCTGGCAACGAGAGTGAGAACGCAATCTCATGCAACTCAATATTTCCCATTGAAAGTAATGGAAATAGAAATGACCTATACCAGGTTCTACCATGAAAAGAAATTTATTGTCAAAGCAATGTTATTTAATAATATTTTTAACATTCTTTTGGATACGCATAAAAGTTAACCACTGTTACTCATATATGTAATAAAAACAAAACAAACAAAACACTCTCTCCAGATGACAAAGGTCAAAGGACCAGTACAAGAATGTGAGCACAAATGTGCCTTATGCAACAATTTTTTTCTTGATTCCTTATCGACAATGTAAATGTTTTTTTTGTCCACAACCTATATATCACGACATACACAAACATGATTTCCAAACCACTCTCAGACAAGAAGAAGTGTACATTATGGTTCATATTTAAACTGTGTGCCAAACATGTTTGCCTCTGTCGGTCTTCAGGTAACTTGAATTGGATATTTGTTATTTTCCTCATAATTTTCTTCACCTAGTCCCTTGTAGGCGAGTCAGTCTTCTGGATTAAGTGTCAGACAAAGCCATGAAAACTGAAACATCTGCTCGCTAAATACATGTATGACAATATTTCCAACTCTTGAGTGTATGACTTCAGGGATGTTAGACTAGAGACAGTGATGCCTCGTAAAGGCATAGTTAGTAGTGGAATGTGCGAGGAAACCGGAATACCCGGACAAAACCCACACAGGCACGGGGAGAACATGCATACTCTACACAGGAAGGCCGGATCCGGAATCAAATCCTGCACCTCTGCACTGTGAGGCGGGCGTGCTATACAGTCGACTACCATTCCGCCCATTACGGAAAATCGTTTATCGCGGGGGTTACGTTCCAAAAAGAACCAGTGATAGGTGAAATCCGTGAAGTAGTGAGCTTTATTTTTTACAGTTATTATACAATACTGAACTATGTATACAATGAAACCAAAGACCAAAATATGTTTTCAGGCCCAAGCAAAAAAAATCCGTGAAACAGCAAAGCCGCGGAAGGTGAACTGCGTTAGAGCGAGGATCACTGTATGTGTGTGTGTGTATCTTATATATATATATATATATATATATATATTTGGGGATTGGGATATATAGAAGTATAGAATTATCTTAATCATAATATTTCAACCACTGGTGATTCTCATCATTATGCTATCTTCTAATTATATAGTGCTCTGTTGTTCACTGGGAAATGGCAACAACATCTCCTTTTCAAAATGGTGCACTCCGTTATGTTGAACAGTGCATGTGAGTGCGTGTTTATTGATTCATTCATAAATATGCCTTGAGTACTAAAGCTTGGAACCGGGAGTGTCGTCGATGTCAGTAATGGTAATGCAATCAAAAGCATAACAGGGATAGCCTATTTCTGCACTTAGATTCTTGGCAGTGGTTTGATCAAGACAGAATAAGCTTGTGACTTTTCAATTCCAGCCATAATTTGTTTCAATATTACATCTCTAGAGTAGAGCAAGTGATGGAATTTTTCCTATCCTCTGCTGTCGCAGTGGGGAAGCTGACGATATACCATAATAGGTTATCACCAACCATATCTTTTGCAAAATAGAAACCCAACACATGTACATCTGTGGCCTGGTGTCACTGCCTTAAATATACATCAGAAATGCATTAAATTTGCTGATTGCTATTCTTTTCTTACAGCGTGTCAAGCCCAAAATTTATTTTTGCTTTGTGGCCGCCCGATTACTTGGAATTGCTCGCGGTCTCTCTGACATTGATGGATTTGAAGAACGTGACAACGTTACATTTATTCTCTGAGTGCATATGCAGTTCATGTTAGTGTGTGCGGGTTCATGTGACTGGGTGATGTAGCGTTGTTTTCTTTTAGATTGTCTTATTTTCCATCAGTGAGAGTTGACCTTTTTTTTTTATACTACATACAATTTACTGAACTGCCAACACTGCTCTAACACTGATCAGCTCACCATGTGCTCCTCTTTCTAACAAGCAATGCAGCAGACTGAGAGTAAGATGTCTGGGATTATTTTTCCATAGTTTTTTCTTGGTGGATAAATTCCAGTCCTGGCTCATTCAAATTCATAAATTGCTGGTTTCAGCACAGAACTGATCTGATGCTGCACTGGATTTTATTAATTGACCCGCTGTTTCTTACAGAGATTGATGAATAGAGAGGATGAGACAAACTTACCAGCTGAAAACAGGCTGTCCATTTATTATCTTGTACATCCTTGTGATCAATACGTTTCTTTGGCAACCACAAGCTGGTGCAGCGGTTAAAAAATGTCATACCTTCAATTGGAACACCTGACGTGGCAAGGGAAAGTTTTTACTTACCATGAATGTCACCAATTATCCAATTATTTGATATGCCACCTAAGATCATACACACAGGTTCTGCTCCTACACAGTCTTTGTACATTAAAGAAAATAAAGGAAAAGGGGAAGATGTGCATGGACAATCCAAAGTGCACGTCAATTTATCCTTGCTACAAATATTTTGTCACAGATAAGGTGATTTGAAGCAACATTTATCCTGCACAACGGACTGAGAAATGTAATTGAATGAATTGTCTAAACAACAGAGGCTATTGACCTCCGTAGGGTGGGATGAGGAGTGAGCACACACATGTGACTGTCTATAAATTTAAGTCATGGACATGCCCGTCCTCTTCCATCGGGGGCTCTGACATGCCCCTCGGATTGATGTCCTCCCTGCCCATTTGTCTGTTTTACACTCTTTAGTGTCTCTGCGCTCCGCTAGACCTGCAGCCCTTTGCCTTGATTGGGTATTGACAACAAATCAAATGGCTGTAATATATGGTGATGTGTGCCAGTGTCCCAGCAAGACAAGATAGTCGTACGGTTGGCTCCGTTGGTTTACATGTGTTCTCTGTGAATGTCAGAGAGGATCCATATTGATTCCACAGGACAAAGAGTCATTCTTTTTCTGGTAGCCAATACATAGTTAGTCAAAGGTGTGCTACAATGAGGACGGTTAAGGAGTGTAGAATTAAGACACACTTGACATGTGGGGAAAGACATTGGGTGAAGAGGGCTTTTAGACTGTGAATCTGGTTAATGTCTTGCCTTCTGATTGTTTGCTTTGAAAGTAACGTGTGCATCTAAAAAGTTTTTTTTTTACTGACCCTCAGGCCTCCTCAGTAAATGAAGACAACAGTAAGCACCCCTTCGTCTCTTTCTCTCTGTCTCTCTCACACACACACGCGCGCGCGCACACATATGCGCGGAGATGGACAGACAGACAGACAGACACACACACACACACACACACACACACACACACACATACACACACACACACACACACACACACACACTCTGACCGAGCATCTTTGAAATGGGTTTTGTATTGATTTTTGTAACTACCCTGTTAGATGACGTTGTGCCTTAGCGTGTCATTTCTAGATGGCCCAGCCCCGAGCAGGTCATTGAGGTGCTAACTGTCATTTGGAGGGACAGAAAAGCAATCATAGCTTTTTCATTACTTACTGTTTTCCCTCCCCTCCCCCCTGCCTTTTCACTCTGTTTTTAGCCCCAGTCGTGGGATCGTCTGACATATTACGGCTTCTGTGATTTAACTGCACTCTTAAATTAAGTGCGGGAATATCAAGCTGTAGCTTTGAAAAAAAAATAAACTCTTGTGTCAATAGATCAAATACCCTGGAGGTCAAAGCTATGAACTTGTAGTGGCACACTCATGAATTTCTAACTTGTACTGCCTTGTTGTGTTTCAGGTGTACACAGGAAAATGTGCTTGTGGCTGGAAAGGAGCTGTTCATGTAGCAGTTGAACTGTATATTTACAGCTCCTATTCAAATGCAATATCATATTGGGAATATCAAAACACATTCTCTCAGGAGGAAGTCACAATTACTTATTTTGAAAATTCTAAGAGATGCTGGGTTTGTCACTGGAAATGTTGCTAAATCGTGTGACATTTGAAATAAAAGCACTTTACACAACTTCATTTGAGGTTTGAACTGTCGGTACGGCTGGAGTCGTGATTATAGTAATGACTGTGGTGTGGCAAAGCAGCATCGGTTAAGGTTAGGCAACTAAAACTAGAAGCCAAGTTTTATTGTAAGTCAAGCTTACAATAAGCAATTAGCAAAACCAAAACCAATGGAAGCGTAAATGCAGGAGAGCTGAATGAATTGTAGCCTTTGTGAGCAAACACCATAATTAACCCGTCATGCATTTGCCTTTTCAGACATTGTGCTGATTTTACAGCATTTCGAGAAACCAGAGGCATGCTTGTATGTGTAACACGCACGGCACATTAAATGCTTTTGTAATCATCTGAAATAATCATGTAACTTAGTCTTGACCTTTGAGAGCACAAACACAGAAATGACAGCAACCCGAAATAAATCTTTCTAATGAGTCAAACTGTTATCATAAGTGTCAGAAATCTGTAAGTGATTGTGATTGATAATGTAACAAAAGTAGGACAAGATGACCTACAGACTATGATGTGTTTGAGCTCCAGATGAATCGGGGGCTTCACTTGACGCCCTCTGACTTTGTATGAGATTAGCAGTTTCATGTGGAGGAGTAATAAGTGGGCTTTCTGACATTGTTGTTACGCAGTTCTTTGAATGGGCACCGTCTGAAACAAAGACAATGCCCAAAGGAGGACGTGATCACACACATGCTACTGATTTCATCACACTATGCGAACTTAATCACGTGGTGCCTTTTGATTCCGGTGCCAGAAGAAATCAGGATGATATCACCACTACCTGAAGGAAATATTTGGGAAGTAGGCCAAGAGAAAAATGTTATTATTCCATCCGTTTTCTATCTGGCCTATACTCATTAAGGCCATGACAGGACACTGATAAACACACAACTATTCACACTCACAGTTATAATTTGGAGTCTTCAATGAACCCAACATGCATTGTTTTCTGAAAGGTTGTTGAAGTATCCGGAGTAACCTTTGGTCAATGTCCTTGACTGAGGTGTCCTTCTAAAAACTAGACGGTTTAAGCCAACCGGGGAACCATAGCTGAATGACAGTACTCATGTTCTCCACCACACATGTCGCCAGACTTATAGGAAGTAGAAAAACAACCATTTCAAATCTCCTTAGAAATGCTAAGGGATGGTCTTGTGGTAATCTTGTTTCTAACAAAAGGCTCGTTCACCCTGTCGTGACAAATAGTATTGCTTGCAGTACTTTTTTTTTTTTTTTTTTACTGAAAAGTTTTGGAATATCAGGTATCAATGTGCCATTGCTGGTTCTGTCAGAGATATAATTCGGTGTTGCCTAGAAATTATGGGTCCCAGTCATTTTAAGCCTGTTTCTTTTCAGGAAATATCAAATGAGTCTTGGTGTCATGATTGACAGTTCTTTTAAACTCCCGGTAGATAAGCAAATCAGTACACTGGTAAAAGCAAGATTCTTTCTGCTGTGGCTGAATGCGAAAGTAAAATCACATCGCATGTTTAGGGGTGGTCGACAAGTTAGCACGTCTGCCTCACATTGCAGAGGTCCAGGGTTTGATTCCAGCTCCAGCCTTCCTGTGTGAAGTTTGCATGTTCTCCCCGTGCCTGTGTGAATTTTCCCCTGATACTCCGGTTTCCTCCCACATGCCAAAACCATGCATGGCAGGTTAAGAGAACACTCCAAATTATCCCGAGTTGTGATTGTGAGTACGAAAGGTTGTTCGTCTCTGTGTGCCCTGCGATTGTCTGGCAACCAGTTCAGGGTGTCCAACACCTACTGCTCAAAGACAGCTGGGATAGGCTCCAGCATGCCCGTGACCCTTGTGAGAATAAGCCAATTGGAAAATGGATGGATGGACGGATGTTTCTTATTGTTTTTCATATGTATTTTTCTCTTTCACCTTTGTGTTTCTTCATCGTGTTATATTTTATTATGTACAGCACTTTGGGCATTGTTTACTGTGTTTAAATGTGTTATATAAATAAACACTGACCTTGAGTTTGACCTTGACCCACACTTGCTCTGTGTGTCGATATCATTTAGGTTAACAACATAGTATCCTTTGAGTGAGTTCGCCTCCAGGTGTACGACTGTATCAGAGCAACATTTGAAAGCTGTGATTTTAATGCCCATTTCAAATTGTTTTCTTATTGATTCCTCAATTATGTCGCGAACATCTGTGGGAATGCAAGGGATGAAGAACAACTATGTTGGAAATCTTCCCGACACTACCCACCAGCTATGACACTGGCTTTCTCACTGACTGATTCTACGCTACCATAAGTCCATTGTAATTGCAGTCCCCCCCCCCTTCCCCCCTCCCCACATGCACACACACCAAAGTAAGGCATTGCCAGAGTATGAACATTTTAAAATATCAAATGCACAATTGAAAACAGAGTATTTACTATTGACTGTAGCCACTGTTAAAACATCCTTTAATGTTGGGAACACACACACACACACACACACACACACACACACAGACATACACATTCTCCTCAAGTCCACTTGCCACCCAACTTGTCCATCATGCCCCTGTGCTTTTTTTTTTCTTCCTGTGAAGGTGTTGGGCTGTTATCAGCAAGACCACTGCACGGATGGCTGCCCTAATTGAGAATAATGAGGGTCACATTGAACATATGGTCGGTGTTGTGTCCCCACCACCCCCACTTCTTTCCTTTCTCCTTCTCTCACTGTGTCCATGTCTCCACAAGACAAAAGGTTCACTCTAACTTTGCCATGGCTAAGCAAGAATCAGTGTGGCAAGAGCAAAAAAAAAAAAAAAAAAGGACATTGACTTACTTTTTTTTCTTCTGACAAGTTAGTCTCCAGGCAAGTAGTGACCAGCCCATCTGTGTATGGAAGGCCAGCTAAAATCAGGGCTGGCAGTTGGCATATCTGCTTTACATTTGTGAGGTTCAAATCCCAGCTCTGGTCTTTCTGTGTAGAGTTTGCATATTCTCCATGTGCTTGCGTGGGTTCTTGGTGTCAGTGCTGCGATTACAAGTCAATTTCAGGAACTACCGGTGTGTTTAATGTTTACAAAAGTGGATATGTGATATGGTTTGATTTCAGAATAAATCCTAGTACCTTTCCAAAACACTTATTATTCTTTGCCAATTTATAATACAGTACTGTAGCTTCAACAGTCGGCTAATCTGCAACGTCTCATGTTCTCTTTAACCCTTTTTTATTCAAAGAGGTGCTTTTTATAACTATGTCATTAATTCTATGCATTGGATGATGGATCAATTTTTATGGACTATGTGGTCAAAAGACAATTTAGATCTGTCAAAAAATAAATCAATAAATAATTCGGATGAGATGCATTAAAGATACGACAACAAAATGTGTTGCAGATTTTCATAAAATAGCTTTGCATGAAATCTTCCAGGTCCCCGGATCTCAGCCACACTGATTAGATTTAGATGCACTAGTAAAGGTTTATGAGATCACTAGCAAACTGTGAAATGATTTGCTGGCATCTCAGATTGTCATGTAATTTCCTTAGGAGACTGGATTTATGGCTATCTGTGACCCAGTTACAGTGTTGTTATGCCGCATAGCCCCTGGTTGCAGGAGCGGGTCTCCTGTTTCATGTAGAGACAGGTGTAGTCTCATGATATGAGTAGCAGGTGGATGCATAGTTGACGTATGCCTTAATGTACTGAGCAAGTAGACTTTACATAATGACACAGCTGCACTATTTTTTTCCCTCATTCCTTGTAATGTGAGATTTACCACACATGGACAACATGCACGCCAGGTTCTCCAAAATGTCAAGTGAACAATTTACCCTAAGTTTCGGAGACATTCTTTGGATTCCGGATGGCAAAACGGCCAGTTAAATTTGTCACGGCTGTTAATCAGAGTTGACTCAACTTGAAGTTAAAAATGCTCTCAATTTTGCTCTCAATCGTTGTGTTATTTATTTTTCGGTCAAGTTATTACAATCAAAATTGGTCGGTCACAAAGCCAAACATAAATCTAGCCTTTGTGTCAGAAGATAAATGTTGATGCTCTATCCATACAATATTGTTTCTATACATTATGGTTGTATTGAGAAAATTTTGTCTTCCTTTATTTGACTGTTGAAATATAAATGTCCATACAGGTCCCCCGACCAGAACTGGAGCCAGCCACTGACATTTCTCCACTTTGAAAACACAATGAAATCTGAATATTGCCTCAGTTGAGCAGATGCCCGTGGGGAAATAATCCAGGGTCTCTGAATAGTCCCTAATTGAATTGTCTTTTACTAAATAGAGTTTGCTCTAATGCATACTCTCATCGGTGAATATGACAGCCGGCTATGGTTCTCATATCTGCCTAAAAGAGCCCCCAGTTCCAAGAGCTATTAACTGTATTACCCAAACCAATATCCCTGCCTAAGCTCATTACCCCGAACCCATTGTGTATTTTTGTCACTACATCTTTACTCAAAATTCAAATCAGCCTTTGATGGATGCTTAACAAGACTGCACCTTTATCACGTATTCTGCTGACCTTCAACAAATTGCTCTGCAAGTTTGCAGCCATTAAAATGATAGAAATGTTTTTGTTCACACATGATTCAGAGCGTACGGAAGAGTGTGTCGACTGTGTTTTTATTCACGCCACGCTGAGAGGGTCTAACCTTCATATGAACCCCTGCCATATGTCAGTTTCTGTGAGGTGCAATATTCGGGAATACACATTGCTCAAACTGGCCTTTTATAAGACAGTTTGGCCATTTAGCCAAAGTTGAAAAACAAACAAGTGTCCACTGACTCACAAATAAATGAAGGTTTTGCAGGCGCGCCGGGACAAAGAACAGTACCTGTTTTGTTTACTCTAGATAATATATGAGTCTTGGAAATTGAAAAAAAGAAAAGATACATCTTTGGTTAAATAATGACTAAGCAATAAAAGATTGCATTTACAACTGTGACTTTCGAGAATAGTGTTGGTGTCCTTTATTGCAATATGGACAGGTTTTTATCCAGTTCCAGCAGATTTTCTGCAGAAACGCCATTCTATTAGTCTGTATTTCTTAGTTAGCTGTGGATAGATGTTGTCCACTTTTTATGAGAGGGAGAGCCAATGTCTTATCATGACTAATGCTCCCCAAGATAAGTAGATGAGTTAGTATCTCCCTCTGACTGAACACTGGAAAAGACAGATGGAGAGGTATCACCTTTATATCATTATTTATGCCGAAAAGTGATCTCAGGATGCATAACAGAAGGATACATTGTATATTTGCACACTTACAGATAACGTCACCATTGGTGTCAGACGCCACAATTATCCAGCCAGTGCTACAAGGATAAGTGGATTGAGGGGCTAATACCAGAGATGCTGGCATGTACTACACAATCCATTAGAGTACAACACTCCCAAAGTAGCCATTCTGTAAAGTAAAAAAAGATACATATAATAATAATGAGCTTCTTAACCATACCGCCACCTGAATTTCTGTCATGTTGCGGTTGGCTTGTTTGTTTATCAAGGACAGATCTATATTTCACTTTTTAATTGAATTACTTCGATTCAGACTAAAAGCCCTCTGCCTAATAACGTACCAATTACAGTACAGCAAAGACCAACGCAGAGTAAATATGAATATGATTTTATAATTTATTGTTTTAAATACAGGGACCGGGCATGGCTCACTTGACACCGCTTGATTAATAACCAGTGCTTCAGTCTTAAAGCGGGAATTAAGGCGGGCAAGTTTCAGATATTCACAAAGGAGTTAAAATGTAATTTGTCAGAAGAAGCTGGTACTCTTGACATCGCTAGATAAACAAGTGAATCAAGACTGAGACATACGTACGGAAGAGTACTACATACATACGCTCCAGTTTACGGAAGAGGATTAGGGCCAATGAAAAGAAAAAAAAAAGGTTGGCAAGATTCTCACTTTAAAGTCAGAATTCTGACTTTAATCTCAGAATTCTGACTTTAAAGTCAGAATTCCGACTTTAAAGTCAGAATTCTGACTTTAATCTCAGAATTCTGACTTTAAAGTGAGAATTCTGACTTTAATCTCAGAATTCTGACTTTAATCTCAGAATTCTGACTTTAAAGTCGGAATTCTGACTTTAATCTCAGAATTCTGACTTTAAAGTCAGAATTCTGACTTTGTGACGTTCGTGGAGCTATGAATTGTGTGGGATTCCTGTGAGCTCCCTCGTCGTCCGACTCCCCAGGAGTCGAGCCCTCCACAACCTGTACACTCCTACCCTGCTTGGCCCATACACGATGGATCTGCATAGCAGCCTCGCGCTCAGACGCCAAGTCCAGGTCCTGCTGGGCCAGGTGTGCCCGTAGCTGCCTGATCTCAAACTACAGCACAAGGATGAACGGATGGGATTCCAAATGAGGAGAAGATGAAAATGATGTGGGGTGGGGGGCGGCAGGAGGGTGTAAAAGATGATATTAATATAGTGGAGGATAGTAAGGGATCTGGACCAATATACTGAATCAAATTTGTTTAATTTAGTTAGGCGATTAAGAAAATAATAGCTTAGCTAAGTATACTTGACCATTTTTACTGATTGTTTTTTTTTAATTGAGAAATTATTTTTATGCATAAACGCGTGGAGGATAAGGACAGCGTAGTTTTTTTGGGGAACAGAATGACTCTGTCTATGAGGCGTTGCTGCCCCCTTCTGACAATAGATTGATAAACACTTCATAAAATAAATGGCAAGGATACACACGCGCACACTACGGAAGAGGATTAGGGCCAATGAAAGTCAGAATTCTGACTTTAAAGTCGGAATTCTGACTTTAAAGTCAGAATTCTGAGATTAAAGTCAGAATTCTGACTTTAAAGTCGGAATTCTGAGATTAAAGTGAGAATTCTGAGATTAAAGTCAGAATTCTCACTTTAAAGTCAGAATTCTGAGATTAAAGTCAGAATTCTGACTTTAAAGTCGGAATTCTGACTTTAAAGTCAGAATTCTGAGATTAAAGTCAGAATTCTGACTTTCAAGTGAGAATCTTGCCAACCTTTTTTTTTTTTTTTTCATTGGCCCTACATACGCTCCAGTTGAAGGCATTGGTCATTATGAATGAATGGATTGCTCAAGTCAAGTAGAAATATTTGTGGTCGGCTTTGTGATTACCTTATGGCAATCTATTTCAAGCACTCAGCTTAATGATGCCTGTGCATTTGCATTTTTTTTTGGGGGGGGGGTCATTTCTACGTATCTGCATTTAGAATCCATATGGTAATGATCCTCACGTTCTCATATTATTAATGGAGTTGGGCTTTGCAGCTTGTCCAAATCTAGTAACATATGTTATTTCAAAGACTCATTGATTCATTTTGTCCGTGGATGAATTATTGTCAGAATGCAAAGTGTGTAATGTGGCTACTTAACTAATGACCTGTCTGCAGTGAACTCCTCACTGGTCACTCATAAACACAACAGTGGGAACCAAACAGATTGTTCAAGCTCAATTAGATGTCACGCATATCTTTTGCTTGCTCAAGCAGTCGGGGATTTTTAATAAACAAGATATTCTTATTCCTACTTTAGATTTGTGGTTAAGAATCGTATTATAGGTTAACCCTTTCATTTACATAATTGCACTCGAAGGTATCATTGTGATACAATTTCCTACACATTTTAAGTACATTGGCTTACACATATCATGAATATTGCTGAACTGTGGTTGTTTTCAATTACAGTCATTAAGTCAGTGGGATTTTTGCCCAGGATATTTACAATGATACTGCTTGCCCTTCCCTGTCTCTTTAACATCACAAGTTATTTAACATTATAAGTTAACAAGTTATCCACGCTTGTCCAATACAAGAGCTCCATCTTGTATTCATATCCAACCATTATTATGGTATTATTATTATAACCTGATAACATGATAAACTAACTGTCCACTGTAGTAACCACTGTCCCTGAAAGAGTTAATTACTCTAAAAATGTTTGTTGTTGTGGTTGTAGTTTATGGAGCGCAAGTGTACTGCGTCATACTGAGAGTTGGTGCTCATATTTTTGGCTGTTTCATGTAACCAAATGTGTATCATACATATCAAGTACCAGTAACCAAAATATAAGACACACTAACAAACTAAAGCCCACTTAACGTAATTGAAACCAAAAACCTTCTGTTTCTTCAGACTGGTTTTACATATGAAACATCATGAAACGTCAAGTTTATTCTTCCTGAAACATAGCACGATCATCATAGAACTTTGAAAGACTTTGTCAGCGAGCTCGGTCTAAAACCTGTGACTCTGAACAGGGTAAGCAGTTTAGAAAATGAACAATCACATGACAATTGATGAATAGTGTCCTGATAGCTGCACTTCGAATGTAAATTGTAAAATGTGATGATTTGTTGAAAAGCTGGAAGTTCTGAACGGATGCTTATGGCTGGATTTATACCTCAGGCCGAACTCCTTATAGCTGATTTGTATTCCTACGTCCACTTGTTTCATGAATCTCTATTCAATTTCCTTGTGTTTACATTTGATGTCCTCTTGAAACAACCCACATTCGGAACCAGTCACCCTTCACTAAATGTGAATACTTTTTTATTTTTTCATGCAACCCTCGCAGCATGGATCACACTCATTGTTTCTCTTGACCTTGTTGTCTGACCTCATAGGCTCATCTCTTAAATTCAACACCTAATGGATATCACACGAGTCCTTAACAACCTGCCCAAGGTTACGGTGGAAGAATTATCATGCACATAACCATTATTTTGATTCCGGAGCTTGAAGCATTGTTGTGGTTAGCAGTTGAGAGTGAGATGTTTGACCTTGTTTAGACCCGTGAATCTAATCTTGTCGTCCATCATCCAGTCAATTATTTGTTATTTGTGTTCTGATCAACTGCTCGAGGTGATGACTCCTGTCCCTGGGTTTTCCAGCAGTCAATTTCAGCTTTCTCAATTGGGACAAAGCTGTTGCCTTCAGCTCTGTTACCTTGCTGCTAATAGATACACCCGTTGTCCTTCGAGAACAGTGGACTGGCCAGTATTGACATAATCCTTCATGAACTGTATAAAACATTTAACCAGATTGCGGAAAAGGTCACTAATTCACATTAATATGCCCTTCTATGAGGCAGCATGGTGGGTGAGTGGTAAGCATCTGTCCGCCTCACAGTTATGAGGGGTTTTGGGTTTGAATCTCAGCTCAGGCCTTCCTGTGTGGAGTTTGCATGCTCTCAATTGTGATTGCTTGGGGTTTTTTTTGCTTTAGCGCAGGGGTGTCAAACTCATTTTTGTCACGGGCCGGATTTTAGTTACTTTCCCTCGGAAGGCCGTTATGAATGAAACCATATAAAGAAATCAAGAAGAACAGTTCATTCACCTATTGTTTGAGTGACTGTCATGAGGGGTTTGGCAACGTGAAAATGCTTACAATATGTCAGAAATTTACTACACATGAAAATTTGGAATCTTGGTAGAGATTTTCGCAAGCATCATGAAAGTTGACATCTTTGATTTGCTTTTGCGGGCCACAAAAAATAATGTGGTGGGCCGGATCTGGCACCCGGGCCTTGAGTTTGACACACATGGGTTAGAGTTTCTTTATATTCTATTCAGATAAGTTGATTCCTGTTTGATAGCATTTTCTTTTTTATTTTCATTACAAAAACCTTTCAAACATACCAGTGCAGAATTGTACTTGACTTCTATTCTTTGCTCACATTTTGCAATCCGACACACTGATCAACTCTCAGTTTCATGAAGTGCTTTCCCAAATAGTTGATGGGTGATGGGGGAAACAAAGCCTTAGAAGAGAATATTCCACTGAATCACCGTTACACTCGGGTGCAAGAAAGAACAAGTTAAACAAATGCTCAAGTTGAGTTTGGTTTTCTTTTTTTTTTCTTTTTTTATTCCTCTCTGCTGTGCCCCAACTGCCTCTCAGCATCTCGTCTGTCACAGTGACGAGGCATAATGGGCCTGAGAAGATCAACCCATCTAAAGAGGGATTTGGAACCTTTCACCTCCAATAAATCCAGGCTGGGGGGAAGCTCTGTAGTTCATAAATGTGCAGAAGCAGTGTTAAAACCCTACCTACTCTCAACAATCTCACGGAAACCGATTTCTCTTAGAGTTCAAATAAAATGAACTACTGCATTCGAATGACACTCAACAGTAAGTCTATTTGGTGAAAGTGAATGAACTCTAAGATTAGTTTAAACAAGACACATATTGGATAGTTTGTCAGTCTAATCGGATGGGCTATGATAAACCCCTCTCCGAACAGAATTGGAAATATCCATTCAGGCGACAGAAAACCTATCGGCATGAAAGCCGAACAACATTAGCAGAATTTGATTGTTGCTGGGACCTACATGTGATGTGATGCGGCGTTATGAAAGATTGATCGGCTTGTTTGCTTGAGATAATTACACGTGGTTAGTCCAAAGCATTTGACTGCATAGCGCCTTACTTGGACCATCTCAATATTATAACTGCTTGCACAATATAATGATATCCAATGCGATCAAATAATCTGGTAAAAAGCTGGCTTTAGATTGACACTTTCAGTCAGTATTCATCTCTTGAATTGAATATTGTAGAAGTGGTCATAATGTGTGTTGTGTGGAATCTTGTTTCCATGGATTTTTCTTTTTTTTTTTGTTTCTGATCATGATTATTGCTGATACATCATTTTTGGTCTTTGGACATGTGTATTGAATGCCACTGCACCTAATTGTTCGGTGCTGGGCAATAATTTATTGGTTAAAGTGTCAGTTATTTTTCGGGTAAATCAAAATATGTTTGGGCTCATCATCGCCTCAGTTTTCATCACTCATGTAAAATTCTCAGTTCAATCCTCAATTCATCATCACATTCATCCTCTTTACAATAAAGGTAAATGTGCACCATGTCTTCCAAAATTTAGAAAACAACTTTCCTTGCTTGAAGTTGTGACCACACACACATTTAAATGTTTAAAAAAAAAAAGTACAAATCCCCCCTTTCTACATGATGTAGAAGCACAGGGACGTTTCTGTATGCGATTTGATTAAAGGCAAAGAAGCCACACTTCTGATGATCATTAATCACAACATACTAATTACCGAGGAGTTCTTTCATGTTCAGTTCAAATGTTAGAAAATGAACTCCCTTGTCATTTGCTGGGATCTTCAAGGCAAGGGACAAACAAACACTAATAAGGT